TACACGACTTAGTCTTGCTGTGCCCATATAATTTAATACTTAAGACCTGTCTGTGTTGTATTGACATGAACTGCTGGTTCAACTTTGGCAAAAGCATTGCTTTCTGTTTCTCTATTGAAAGACTTGAAAGTACCCCCTAAATATTACTTTTGTGCCAAGCGTTAGGCACACTTGATCTCTGGGGTTAATGACAAGACAGCTCAGAGGCCCGCAGCAGGTAATAACGGTGCAAGTCCAAGCTTTGCCATCTGACAGCTGTGTCGATGTGCGGAGCCAAAACATTTCTCTCTCTCTACCTATTGGGTCCTGGAAGACTCAGTTCCCTTCCAAACCCAGCAGGCATCCTGAACGCACTCACAATCCACGTTTTTGTCTCTGTCAGGTGTTCCTGCTGGAGCTGGGATGGGGAGGGATGGGGAGAGGGAAAATCCAAGTGTTGTTTACCCATCTTCATGGGAGGTTGTGGGAGAAAGCTGCCCCTTGGAAATCAAGCAAGGAATAAACACATGCTGCCCAAAATCTGTAATCGGAAAAATAAATAATTAAAACGGGTCCCTGCACAGCATTTCTTGCTGCTGTTGTTTATTGAGAACTCCCAGTGTGCTCAGAGCTGTGTGTTCTAAAAGACAGGGTCTCTAACCCTTAAGCTTGTCAGCCAAGTTAAATTGTATACTCTGGTTCAAACAATAGCGTGTCATGGCTGCACAGGTGGGAGCTGTGAGTTTTGCATATTTTTCCCCTTTCATTGAAGTAAATTCCTTGTTACTGGTATGCATTAAAAAGCTTTAATGGAATCGAATTTCAAGAGAAGTTTCAATGAAAACGAGGTGTAGTTTTGCTGAAAAAGCCGACAATTTTCTAACCTATGGAACAGGCAGATAAGAGAGTTAATTCCACAGATATGTCTGATGCCTGCTAGTGTAAGCAACACTGTGCTGGACGCCACTGATTTGGCCACTGGAAGGACAATAGCAGGTTGCAACCCCATTTAATGGGGTCATGGGATCTGTGTGCCCCTGGTTGTCACTCAGAAGAATGATGTCATTTGATTGCATTCGTTCTGCATTTTATTTTCAGGTCTTGAATGTGTTTTTGAAAAGACATGCTGAATTATAGGTGCCTAAAACAGGACTCAGACTTGAAACACTCTAGAGGGAGCCTCAATAGATTCCAACAGCGATTTCTTCAGAGCAGACACAGTAATTTTAACAGTAATCCACAGGCAGCATGGCACAAGCGGCTCGATTTGCTTGCCTTCTTCCTTTCCTCCTAGCTGGCTCTCTCGTATTTTCCATCTTCAATCAGCCGTAGGTAGAAATGCAACAGGACTGACCAAGTGGGTTCTATTTGCCCATCTCTTGGTTCTCTTATCTCACATTGGCTGATTCCCATTCCCTTCAGCTCCTCCAGCTAAGGGTTATTTTCTGAGATGCTTGCAACAGTGAGTGTGTACTCAGTCATTTACACACTCAGCCCTTTTTCTGCCCTGCCACCAACTTTGAACCCACTCTCGCCACCATAGCCTGTGAACCGCAGACAATAAATCTGCGGGGGCAGATGATTTCTGGAGACTTTCTCTCTAGTAATCGTAGTAAACATCTGTATAGTACCTCCTCACTGGTTGCTTCTTTTGAGTTCCTCATCAAGTCTAAGGTTGATTCTATGAGAAGCACCCCATTTTCCAGGTGAGGAAGCTCAGAATCAGTTAAGTAACTTGCTCAAGACAACAAAATAAGTGTCAGAGGCCTCTAGCTTAAACTCAGGTCTACTGGTGTCTGCTTCTGTATTCTCTCAATCAGGCTGGTGCTTCTTGAACTTTTACCTTGGTGATCCCCTATAAAGAGATGGCAAACAACTTCCCTTAGAATGTGGGGTTGCAGCTAGAGATTAATCCCCTGAAGGCAAAAATCTATGCCTCTCATCTTGGGTTGTGTTTTAAAATTTTATCTGGTCTCTTTTCTTTTTCTCATTCTATTTCTGTGCTTGGATTTATATAAAAATGAATGCTTTAAAATGATGTATAAATTACTTAATTTAACTTTCTGTCTCTCTAAACTCCCACTACTCCAGTGCTATAGAAAAGTGTTTGTAATTGAGTTTATGAGGTCTGATTAGTTGAGATTTGTTTGGCTGCCATAATTAGGTCCTGGGTCTCCCATGGTTTTAAACATGTCAGCCACCCCTCTGAAGACACCAAAGGTGGTGTGTTTTTCTATAGCATGGCCCACAGGACTGACTTCTCTAATTCAGTCTTCTCCTCCTGAGGGGACACACCCCCTTCTTCCATACTCACGTAATTCTAAAGGTTGACATAATTCCACTGCTGTGCAGACAGCCACAGAATGTTCACATGCTCTTCAACAGACAGGAACTCTGGGCACATCTGGCTACTGGATGTAGAAATGATTCCCCAGTTCCACGTGGCAGTGCAGCCTGTGGACCCCAAACCCAGTCTTCCTGTGATGTTATTCCACGATTCTATTGAGCCATGTTGCAGTCTGTAGGCTGGATGGTGAACTTTAACCCCATATATCCATCTGACATGCAAGGAGGGATTCAATAAGGGCAACTGACAGCACCCACTTAGAAAGCTAAGGAGAAAGCAATCACAGCTACAATCTACTGAGTAATTATTATGGCCAGGTTCTGCACAAAGCACTTCACATGTTTATTTTCTGTTGCTTCTCAGTCACCATATGGATCATGGGCTGTAGTTATTATTGTGATTATAGATGAGAAAATGGAGACCCTGAGAGTGGCAGTTAGGTTCCCCAGCTGGGTGGTTTACCTCTAGGACCTAAGCTTTTGACCACTGTCATAGTCTATCACCACAGACATGGGGTTGTGGTGTTGATCCTATCTGTTTTGAGCAAGCTAGCCCCTGCCACTACTGTGAGACCAGCTGTTTGTGAACTTAAGCTATAACAAAGAACAGAGAATCCTTGGTTGTAAACTGGATTTCTAGGTTTACGTTTGTGACTGACTAAAGTTCTGATGCTGGGAGGATTATAGTTCTTTAGCCATCAGCTTCTTAAACAGTGGCATTGGACCTGTATATGACTTTAGGGAGTGTTCTCTATTGAACCCCCACCACTTAGCACAATATATGGTATGTAGTTGGGATTTGAGAAATATTTGTTGAGTAAATAAATGAAGGATCTTGG